GAAGTTTTACCCTTTTTTTCAACTTGTAAAAAATTAGTTTGACTATAATGTTCATTATTTACATGTGTCAGTGGAGGTACTTTCATAACAATTCTACACAACTTATTTTGGGCCGTCTGCAATTTATTTTTCATTCTATTAGAACTATCGCTGGAGGGCTGGTTTCCTGCATAATTTAGCTCTAACTTCCTTAAACACACCTGCCGATTAGTTTTTAGTATACCTAGAAAAAGCTTGATTAACTGGATCAGGTGTGTTTAATTGGGGTTGGAATTAACATATGCTGGACAATGGCCCTCCGGGACCGGGTTTGGACACCCCTGATGTAAATAATGCAAAAAGAAAGCTCTGTACCCTACTCAGTATTCGATTTCAGTTGGAAGTACATCAATAAGCTGAAGTAAAACTAAAATATGGTATAGGCGGAGCTAGTGTTTCTTCCCATACTGATAAACTTCTGGTGAACTGTTAATGTGAATTATTTCCTATTTAAACGGTTCCTTTTACAGCATCGATGTTGTAGCTTAATTAAAATATAATCAGTTAACCAGACTTTAGCATTCATTTAGTTGCTCAAGCGAAAAATAAGCCGTTTACTCGTACGCGCCCGTCAGAATCGGCAGGCTAGCGCAGAAGCTCCATGGTATATACTGGGTTAAAATAAATGCTTATATTTTAAAGACATGGCAGGGAAAAATGTTATTTAATGCTGTGCTTCTTGGACAAGCTGAGACCCACTTTATATCGGATATCACTTAGCCAGTGGAGATCGCTGATTTTTAAGGAAAACAGACCTTAAATGTGCCGATTTTGTAATGGCATTCAGTTCAGTGGAAGCGCTTAACCCAGGTTATTGACAAATTAAAAGTCCTTCTGCATAGTTCCACATATACCCTATAGAAATAAATGCAGATCGCATTTCCACTCTACGTTTTACTTGAGTATTATTTTGGTTTTGTCAAAGTGTGATAAAAATGGTGCAATGAAAAACATTAAAACTGCATATTTTTATTTGATGAAATGTTTTATTTTTTATATTTATTTTTAAAACCTAATTGTGTGTGTATATATTTAATATTTCTTAATATATAATATATGTGTTATTGAGACGGTATTGTAGGTTGCATTTAAAAGCTTGAACGTCTGAATGACAATCTGTACATTTTTTTTGTATTCAAAATAGTCTCATTATATGATGGATAAATTTCTATCACAGGTCACTGAGGGAGTTTTCGAAGAGCAAATTCTCATATTTTCCTTATAGTGTTGCTCGGCAACCATGAGCGTGTAGAGTTTCTCGCAGAGGTCGACTGGTTTTCATGCCTTTCTCTCTGGTTTAACACACTCCTGTTATTTTTGGACCAAACGTTTGCTGTGCTTTAGCAGTTTTTAACATTTGTTGCACAGCACTGATCCCTTCAGAACGCCAAATGAAAACTGAATTTGGCCAGTTTATATTGTGTTGTTTTCATAGGAATCGTTTTCTTTCTTCAGTGCACAAGTGCAATAATCATTTTGCTTAATGTAAATGACTCTTAAAGCAGTAGCGATCATAATAAGTTAAAATAATATAAAATTTATGATTTTTATTACAAAAAAATTCAGTATGTTGATAACTTTTAAGTCGTTTAATCTTTAAAAGTGTATTTTTAAAATAAAGCACATATTATAAGACATACATCATCAATGATATATGATTCATTTAATTGTTTCAGTGCACAGTTATTTAATTTATCTTTTAAATTATTTTACATTGGAATGATTGTTAATTATACAACAGTTGTACTATAGAAGTATTAATATATATTTGTATATAAATGTAATATTGATAAAGAATTATAATAATATAAAAATATTATGTAAAGTAATTTTTTTATAATTTAATCCTTTTTATTCATGTATTTTTAATCAGTGAAGCAGGTCTATGAATTAATTACGTGCATTCATTTAAAATTATTTTAATATGATTTATTATTAATAATTATTAACTCTTAAACTTAATTGTTATAATAATAAATTATTATTATTAGCAGTTAAATCAGTTTTTTTTAATTAACACTTTTTCATTTTGGAAATTGAGCCACGTTTATTTAATCATTTTTTTTTTTTTTCAATTTATTCTCTAAAAACGCAGCATGGGAATCTTATGTGGTTTATTTGTAGATCGGTCAGTAAATGACCCCAGTCAAATGGAAATGACATAACTAATAATTATATTAGTTATAATTAACTATATATTAACTATAACTAACTATTTTATTAAATATTAAATTAGTTATAGTTATTAATTTAATCTTTTAAAGTGCATTTTTGTTTAAAATATGCCATGCATTATGTGACGTACATCATATTTGGATGCCCATTCATTTAAATATTATTTATTTTGAAAGTAATTATCATTTATAATTGATTTAAAATCTGTTTCAATGCACAGTCATTTAATTGATCTTTTATTTAAAATTATTTTACATTGTGTCTGTTCCTTATACTCAATTTTAAATGGTACTATAGAAACACTATTATATATTTATGAAAATGTAACATTAATAATTATAATAATATTAATATATTATGTAATGATATGTGATTGATTTAATATTTTTAATTAATGTATTTTCAATAAATGAAGCAGATCTATAACATTTTTAATAGACATCAATTAAAAACAATTATTTTAAATTTAATTTAGATTGTATTTATTTTAATATTAAATCATTATTGACGGCTGAATCAGTTTTATAAATTAACCATTTTAATGAGACACATTGATTTTGTATTGCGCATTCATAGTTGCAGCATGTTATAATGATACTAAATTATTAATAGCAATTTAATTATTTTTATTCAATCTATTCTCTGAAAACGCAGCTTGGGAATCTTGTGTGGTTTATTTGTGGATTGACCTCCGTGGTCAGTAAATGACCTCAAATGGAAATGAGCACAAAAACGAACATATAACAGGACATATAGATAGACGTCACACTCAATCTGATCTCCAGAGCTGCATACAATCACTAAAAACACACAGTATGTTCCTGCTGATAAGACGTCACCATGTGAAAACAGGAAAACACATGCAGTTAAAACAACACGCGTCCTACTGTAATCTACACGCATCGAACATGAGCTCATTTTCCAGTTCTTATGCAATCCCACTGCAAATATTGCCTTACAGTTTGGGTAGTTACGATTTTTTTTAACTTTTATTTATTTATTTTTTTCAGATTTATTTTTTTTATTATATATATATATATATATATATATATATATATATATATTATTATTATTAATATTATTATTATTATTTTTTTAACTGTTTATCATTTTCAGTTTCAGATTTCAAAAGTTAAATGTATTGCTCATGCCCCTTTTTAAATAATTTTCCTTTGAGAACTGAACCTGTAGCCTCTGTGTTTTCGGTCATGCCTGGATCTGAATCTGTGTTGTTTTGACAGGTGCACTGAGTTCATGATCTGCAGACAAAACAAAACCAGAATGAACCAAAACACCTGCATTTCAGTCAAATATAAAGTCCTTTTCAAAGACTTTATGAAAAAAGTCCAGTGCTTTTTTGTTGATTTTGCTGTTTGAAGTAGTCTTTTTGCGGTTAACTAGCACTGTAACTTTTTTTTTTATAACTAAAATAAAATAAATTTTAAATAAAGTTAAATGAATTAAAATAAAATGAAACGTATATAACATTAAATACACACATTTAGTTATTAAAGTTATAAACGGTAGTGGTAAAAATGAATTATTTATTACATGGTTGTGTAAATGTGGCTCCTACCAAACCTACATAATTTAGGAGGAATATTGATGGATTCTGATTATGCGAAAATTTTAATAAAGCCAAGTACAAATACTAACGCTGATTTAAATTCATCCACTTTCAAAAGTAATATTATATTAACATTAGTTTTTTTTCCAAATTATATTTTCAGTTTTTATTTTTCATGCTTTCTAGGTCTGTGTGTGTGGTTTTTGTTTGTTTTATATCATTTATACCATTTATTCACATAATGTTTTTCATGCCTTTTTCGTGTGCTATTTATTGCCTTATATTTGTATTTAATATAAAAATTTAAATGATGATTTTTATTTATTTTTGTCTCCTTGTAAGAATTATGTTTATAAAACCTGTTTCAGTGGCTTAAATACATACAGGTATGTGCCAAAAAATTTGAATATCGAGATAAAGTTTATTACTATAATTTGTTTCAAAAAGTGAAACTTATGAGCTATATTAGTTTATTACACACAAAGTGAAATATTTCATGCCTTCATTTGATTAAATTTGAATGATTATAGATTAAAGGTGAAGAAAACAAATCCAGTATTTCACTTAATTAGAACATCATGACAATGTTTAACATTGTAGGCTCCCTGTGTCTCAATTTAGACTGCTAATCAATGCAAAGCCTTGAAATTGTCCCAGTCTAGCTTAGTAGGTTTCAGAATCATGGAGTTGATTGAAAATCTATGGATTATCGTCAAGAGGAAGATGAGGGAACAGAGACCCCGAAATGCAGACAAGCTGAAGGCTGATATCAAAATAACTTGGGCTCTCCTAACACCTCAACTGTGTCTAAGGCTGATTGCCTCCAAGCCACACCACCTTGATGCTGTGACTAGTGCTAAAGGAGACCCAGCAAAATACTGGGGACATAATACAGCACATTAACAATTTTCAGAAGGGCCAACGTGTTTAAAATCCTTTTTTTATTGGTCACATGAAATATTTTAATTTTGTGAAATGCTGGATTAGCTTTTTTTCATCTTTAATCTATAATCATTCAAATTGAAACAATTGAAGGCTTGAAATATTTCACTTTGTGTGTAGTGAACTAATATAACACACAAGTTTCACCTTTTTAAAAACAAATTATTGAAATAATTTAAATTTCTCTTGATATTAAAATGTTTTGGCACATACTGTACCTGTAGTCAGCTTTTGTTATTGAAAAAAAGTGATCAGTAAAGGATTTTTTTCCCCCCAGGCACAGTAGAAAAGAAACAACAATCGAAGAAAGAAAAAATGAAGGAGCGAAGAGAACGATGGCTCAACAGTGAGTATATTTCCACAATTTCCTTATTTTGTTTATAGAAAAAAGCATTTATTTGTTGAGCGAACCCGATCTGTTAGAGCTCATATAAGTGTCGAGGGCTGATGGGAACTTTGGATCATTACCGCCACACCTCCGATCTGACGCCTGTATTCGCAGTGGCCGATCGATGTGCCGCGTAACACAAGCTCGTCCAGCATGATTATAATTAGGATCTAATGGGGCTCTCGGCTCCAGACGAAACCCAAGCTGGAGGATTGTCAGGAAATTAAAAAGATGTTGAGGGTTTCAAAGACACTCAAGGTTGGCCTGCAGAAATACTTACACAGTTACACACATATATATATATATATATATATATACATACACACACACCCACACACAGTCATGGTTAGAGACCTGTCATGATATGAAAATATATGAATTTTTTTGTTGTATGATATATTGCACCAAAATATAGACTTTTCATTTCATGCCACTTATTATTGAATGCCAAAATGACGATATAATATCATCACGATGCAAGTACACTCTTTCAAAGAACATATTTTATTCTCAAGAACATTACATTTAATTATAGTAATTTGAACTGTTTAATAATGAGGCATTGGAATCAGAATGTAAAAATGCATATTCAAAATAAATAGTAATAAATGCTAACAAAAAAGTGCAAGGTAGAAAGTAGCAGAGGCTGCGATATCTGCTACTAGATCTATTTTCTGTTGTTCGACACCCAAATGAGAATATGCTAAAGTAATTTATAGTAAATACTACAGTGATTTTGACCCATGCAGACAGTGACATCTCCGATAGAGATAGAGAGGTATCAGCTAAAGTGTTTGCTAAAATTGTTTTTTATGTTTGGGCGATATATTTTGCATCACTAAAAGCGATCGAGGTCATGTCCATGTGTTGTGCAAAAAGTCCATATATTGATTATAGTGACAGGCCTAGTCATGGTCAAAACTATTGCACCCTTAGTTAATATGAGCAAAGATGACTGTGAACATAAATCCGTGTTTATTCTTTTTAGATTTTGTTCAGAAAAAAATTACAAATTGTGTACTCGAAAATTTGGAAATGGTGGGGGGAGGTTTATGCTTTACGCCACATGATTAACTTCAATAGGCTGACACCCTGGTGTGTCAGCTAAAATCTACTTCATATATTTTATTTCTAAAAAATTTTATTCTGGTGCCAATAATCTTGGTGATTTTTATGTTGTTGAAGAACAGAGAGAGAGATTTGGGTCTGACAATCACAGCTTCTGGACACTTCAGTCAAGCTCTAAAAGACTTGACTGCTAAAGCACGCAGGGCTTTTTATTGTATTAAAAAAACCCTTTTTAAGTTTAACCCACTCATTAAACTGTGGCTGAAAATATTTGACACCATTGTAAAACCAGTCCTGCTGTATGGCTGTGAACTCTGGGGACCCACATTTAAACTAAACTATGAATCTTGGGGAAAAAACTCCAGTTGAAATCTTTCATCTGGAGTTTTGCAAAAACATCCTCGGAGTTCACAGAAGCACACCTAGCCTTGGTTGCAGAGCAGAACTAGGCAGGTTCCCTCTGCTCTCAGAAATCCAGAAGAGAGCAGGGAAGTTCTGGCTCCATCTGTCAGACTCCAGCCCAGAGAGCTACCATCAGCAAGCATCTCATATATAGAAATACACATCCGGCCAGCGACCCCATGCACTATCTGGTGGAAAAACACCAACTAAATTCACAAACCCAGTCCCAACATATAAAGACTAAAGAAATAGAAAAGATTACCCAGGAGTATTATAAAGTCAATTGGCAAAATAAAATACAACAAATAAAAAAGTTAGCGTGCTTCAAACAGATTAAACCTGGTTATGAACTGGCCCCGTATCTGACCAACATTAAGAGCCCTGGTCAGAGAAAGCTGATGAGCCGGTACCGTCTGAGTGGACACAGTCTGAGTGTGGAGACGGGCCGACACAAGCGCAGCTGGAGGAGCCCAGAGCTCAGACTGTGTCCACACTGCTCTACTGGAGTTGTGGAGGATGAGCTGCATTTCTTTACTCACTGCAGCAAATATCAGAGCATCAGAGAAGCTTACGTCACACAAATGTCTCTGATTCTACCACAATTCCAGCAAGCCACAAACACGGAGAAACTCCATTATATTTTGGGAGAAAATGAAAAGTGTCTCCACCTAGCAGGTGAAGAAAAAGGCTGAACCCTCTTATCCCTTATTAAAGCTCTCTGTCCTTACCATTTATTATTATATACTTTTGTTAATCTTTTTTTAATTAACTTGTTTATTGTGACAACATATATGTATAATATAACGATATGTATATGTGTTTGTTTATTATTACTTATTTCTTTTATCTATATGAATGTTCTGTGTTTTGTTATTGCTTTGGCAACATTGTGATCTGTTTTACAGTCATGCCAATAAAGCTCTTTGAATTTGAGAGAGAGAGAGAGATGAATTGACATCTTGACTAGCTGTAAAATATGTATACACCCTACACAACATAAGAAATGGTTAATGTAAATTCATGTATCTTATTTAAATAATGTAAACTAAATAATTTAAACTTATTATTAATATTATTATTATATTTATCAAATGTATTCTGTTTTTTGTCATTATTTCTTATCTACTGTATTATTATTATAATTTTTTGTTTTTGTTGGTTTTAATATATTACATATTTGAAGTGCTTTGGCAATACTGTACTGAATGTCATGCCAATGGAGCAACTTGAACTTGAAAAACTAGAGAGAGAGAGAGAGAGAGAGAGAGAAAGAGAGGGGGAGAGAGAAATGACTTTTCTGTTGTGTTTGTGAGAGATATTTTTTTTTCGCTTCCCTACAAGTACTGTGTTTTATTTGGACTGAAGCAGCTGGTGTCCTGTCTTCTGTCTTGCTTTGGTTTTTCCATGGTTGTTTGACATCAGTAGTTTGAGTCAGTAGTTATTTTCTGTCTGCGATCTGGACAGAAGGTCATAATGGCTAATACTGAAGGTCTGCTGGAATGAACGGAGGCTTTTCAGAATCGTAAAAAATCCATTCAGTTTCCTTCTGTTTGTATTATAGCCGTTTCAGCGTTAAAAATTTCCTCTCAAATTTCGTCTCCAATTTTCATGTCACAGCATCTTGAGTGTAATGGTTAAGTTCCATTGGGTTTTCATCACTATGCCTAAAATGCACTGTTTGACTGCTCCAATATAGTGACTAAGTCCCTTTAAGGCAGGTCTTTTCACTTGGCGGCCCTCTTTGATACGCCTCTTTGAATGGGGAGATGTCAAATTCTCCAAAACTGTTTGGCAAGCTTGCAGTTAGATTTCCTATTTGAAACAACAATGAAATTTATCAACAGCGGTCTCTTAATTTTTTTTTTTTAAATGTTAGTCACTTGAAGGGAACAAATCAAAACACCAACCTTAATTATTGCTGTTTTTAATCAATCAAACAACAACTACCATAAGAATCAAAAACTTGAGTTAAATGATGCTAGTGTGAAGTAATTTCCAACTTAATCCAAAAGGCAAATCTCTTCTCAAAAAGACAACTACTTTGTTTACAAGTTTGTGGACGTTGATTTCCGTCATGTGATTTACATTTGAACAGCAGCGGTGGGAATTCATGAATCATACCTCACATTCGTTTCTTACAGATTTTAAAACTTGTGAACATGTATTTCCAAGTTATTTGGTTCGTTTAAATGTAGAGATTTCAAGCTTTATGTGGATATGTTTCTCATGTCTGTGAAGCAAGTTTCTGAGATTCCCTCGTAGAGTCGTCCGTCTTTAGAGAATAATGATTGGCTCCTTTACTTGAAGACGATATAGCAGACATATTTGCCATTACACTTTCCCCCATTCTGAACTGTATGAGTGACATGTGTTTTAAAGTATTTGATGGCGATACACATTTGATTTCTTACTCAATTTACAGGGTTCACATAGGTCATGGACTTTCTGGAATATTGGAGTTTTAAAAGATCTAACCCAGTCATTAACAGTCTATAGCAAACTATTAAAACCATAAGAGTCAAAAACGTATGTGTTACACAATCCATGTCAAATTGCGCTGGTCATCTGAAGTAATTTCTAACTTAATCCGGAAGGCAGATCTCTTCCCAAAATGACAACGACCTATTTGTTTACAAGTTTGTGGGCATTCAAGCAGCTTTTGTCATGTGATTTTCTTATAATTGGCAGAATTCATGAATCATACAGGACAGACTCCACCCTGCGATGGAATATCATGTAATTTTAAAAGATCTATCACAGACATTAGCTATGTTTATTAGCCAATACTTAAATAGTTAAGGCATTTAAGAATGTTCAAAACAACATTTCAGATGTTTAACAATGTGGTCAGCCTGCTGGTTTGTCCATTCACATACTTTTTATAACAAAATCGCATGACTTTTTTAATGCACATACTGGATTTTGTTCGGTAAAAGTGTTTCCATCATAGTTTATGCGTAATTTTTGTTCTCAAACAAAAAGTTTATCCTACTCAGTTATTCAAATAAAATCAATTCAAGTTTTATTTTTTATAGCACTTTTACAATGTAGATTGTGTCAAAGCTTAACATAGAAGTTCTAGTAAATTGAAAGTGTCAGTCCAGTTTTCAGAGTTGAAGTTCAGTTCAGTTCAGTGTGGTTTAATTTTCACAGCTGTAAGTCCAAACACTGAAAAGCAAATCCATCGATGCACAGCTCCACAAGTCCTGAACCATGCAAGCCAGTTGCGATGAACAAAACTTCACCAATTGACGAAAGTGAAGGAAAAAACCTTGAGAGAAACCAGTAATAAACATTAAAGTGCTGCTGTGAGTCTGTTCTGTGCTTTCATTTTATTTAGGAATGAAATGTATTTATTTAGGCGGGATTCCCTTTTCCTTTTCATAACAGCTGCTGTCGCCCCTCCTATGCAATCTTTAAAACAGTCATATAGCAGTGCGGGACTGTCAGCTGACGCGCTCTAAAGTGATAAATAGACGCTGTTTCCCAAAATGGATTCTGTACACGCAGTTTGAAGCAGAGCGAAAGTCTGGGTTTGAACAAGACATATTTAATAATAATAATATATAAAGATGTCAATCTTGCTGCTTTAAAAAAAATGTATTTTCAAATTTTTGCACATCCAGCCATTTTCAACAACGATTTTTTTTTACTTTCATATCCAAAATGTGCCAAAAAAAATTAGTGGATGAAAACAGCTATTGAAAGTCAGGGATTTTTTTCTCCAGAGACTTTTGTTATTTAATTTTTAAGCTTTTGTTGTTTTGTTGTTGTTTCAGGTTTTTTTTTTTTTTGGAGGGTTAGGATTTTTTTTATTATTAAATTTTCCCACATTTCACCTGCTAACCAGTCATCTAATGTGTACGTATGTTTGTAGAGATCAGTGTGATAAAGCAGGATCGTGAGCAGCAAGCGGCTGCAGTGCGCAGGAGAGCCACACCGGTGGTGGGCGACATGAGACCTCTGGCAGACGCTCTTCCTGAACTCCAGCAGCTCCTTCCATCAGCGCAGAGCCAGAGGAGGAGGAGCAGAAACACAGCGTGAGTCCACACACACACTCAGCATCCCTCACATGTGTGTGTTTCCATTAATTAGCATATGTGAATCACTGCTAAACAACACATTACAAAACAGATTTCACTCAACACCTGTCTTGTGCTAATGGGATTCAGACCAATTAAAGGCACAATATGTAAGATTTGTCATTGAAATATACACAAACCACCAGAATTGCAATATAAATTTTGATGACTTGTGTAGATGTTTTGAAGAATGTTTAAATCTAGAGAAACAAGACAATTCAACTAGTCATCATGCTAATGATGCCTCGATTTTCAGTTTAGTTTCATAGAAATAGACACCAAAGACACCTAATATGTTGTATTTTATTTGCATTGTAACTGAACCCTAAAATATATATTTATTATAATAAAACAATGCTGCTTCTTCCCAGAAACATGATTTCAGTCTTGTAGGATGTATTGAAGACTACAGCTCCCATGATTCCACACTTATTTTACATCATAGGTCTCAAACTCAATTCCTGGAGGGCCGCATCTCTGCACAGTTTTGCTCCAACTCTAATCAAGCACAGCTGGTGCAACTTATTCAGGTGTTCATGATCCTTTCAGGCTCCTCGATTATTTGGATCAGCTGTGTTTAATTTGTGTTGGAGCAAAACTGCAGAGCTGCAGCCCTCCAGGAATTGAGTTTGAGACCTAAGATTTAAACCAAATGACATCCGTTTCTGAAATCGTTTCCATATAATCTTCATTAGTGCACTATTTGAGGAAGCAAAGATTTCTAGTTTGTCTGAAAACATAGTGGACAATTTTGAAAGCTGTTCAATGCTTCGATTCTGATTGGCTGATGTGCTGATTTTAAAGTGTGCAGTTATTTTTATGGAAATGCACAGTTAAAGCAGTTCCAGGCAGGTTTTAAATGCTTTCCATATCTCTTCACAGAATAATTTTAGTTAATTCACAGCTACAACAGCCATGTGTAGGGCTTCTCGATATTGCAAAATTCAGATATTGCGATTTTATTTTTCTGCAATAAATTCTGCCATATGAATACAGTCTCACAAGATATTTTGATTAGCCCTATTTGACGTTTTTTGGGGGAGTCAAAACAATTCTTAGATCAAGTAAAAATATTGTTTGGTTTTCAGCTTCAGAAGAAATAAGGCTAAATTAAAAGTTTTTCATTAAAACTAGCTAAATTATCAGCCAGTAGGGTAAGTAAATCTTTGAAATGGAGATATTTGGACCAGAAACGAGACATAAATACTATAATTAAATACAAATCTGTAGCTCCTGATCAACTACAGTAGGTGAGAGTTTAATATGCCCATTACCGCTGTACGATGTACCGCCGCAGCTCTAAAAGAAAAAGAACGTGTTTTTTAGGTATGACCGCAGTTTGCGACTATGCCGCCAGGTGGCACAAAGGGACGGGATGCGAATGGACGGAAATAGCCTATACATTAGCTGTAAATACTCTCCTACTTGTAAATAAAGATAAACAATGAAACAAAGCATTATAATTCCTTCATTAATCATTAAAAAGACAACTAGGCTACATTATTTAAAGGAGTAAAGAACAACAAATAACCTTTGGGGTGAAGTGCTTTAAAACAAGTTCGCTGTATGCTTCAGCAACAAAACACTATGATATTGTGTTGGTTTGTTAAATAAAATAATAATCGGGCCTAAATAAAATTAAACCGAAATATTCACCGTTTCAGAGAAGCCTATATTAACTGAAAGAAGGATATTTCTGGTCAGAGTTTAACACAGACGTGTTAACAAACCAGCAATGATGCTGATCGCCTTTGTGCTGCCGTGTCATGAACTTAACAAAAGGCTACAACCAACCTTTTTCCATTTGGAAAATTACAGTTATTAATAGTTCTTATCTCATGTACATGTTTAAATAGCCTACGTAGCCTAATCTACGAATCAAACAAATACAAAGTTTTTCTTGATGTTTGCATAATGAGAACTGCGCACCAAACTGAGGCTTTCATTTTACAGCTTAGAAAACATGTATGCAAATTAATGTAATATCATATGCAAACAATAAAATTGTTATATGCTATGTCGGAGCCTATACTTTACAAAAAGTCAACATGTGAGCCTTAAGGCTCATTGTCATTGTCTTTCATTAAACGCAGCGCACGCGCACATAAACCGCGAATGACACAGAGGAAATAAGTCATAATCATAAGTAAGACATAATCTTTAAACTAATGATTTCTATTAAACATGTTGACAGAGGTTTTGTAATATAATACTAATTGCGTAGCGTTAATTAAATCGTGAAGCGATCTATTTTAGGTAGCCTAATATTTTTTCTGTATAATCCAGACTCAACATTGTAAATCTTGCAATGTGACTATTGCAAATGCACACGTTGCGTTATCAACGCTGAAACGATATATTGTGGAGCCCCAGTCCTCAGTTTGCTCTTTAAAATTCTAATAATTTTTACATATAGCTGTTCACCTTACTTTTTGAAATAATGTTTGTTACATATGTATTCTCCGAATATTAAGATAAGCTTTGAAGTTAGAAAATATTTGAATTATTCTTATTATTAATTATTTAAATTGTTTAAAGTGTAAAATTATACTTGTAAGTCACATTAATACATTGGTTAAATGTGGGAAAACTAGTAAATTAAACAGAAAATAAAGGCGTTTAAGGTTTCTATGACTTGTGAACATCCTATAATGAAACTTAAACACCTTTTGTGATGGCTAAATGTTTTTTTTTCCTCTAGAGGCCCGTTTAAACCGGGACGCTTTTTGCTCGTGTTTTCTGTCGACGTTTAATGCCTCATGACTAAAAGGGTGGCAATGTGATCCTGCGCACTAAGTGTTAAAATATAGGCCAAACCTCAACTAGCAACAACACATTTCTTCTTATCTTTAGCAATCCACTGTAAACAGATGATATGTTGAAAAAGCACGTTTATATCACAAACACAGGCTATAGTGTCTTTCCTAAGACATGAAACGTCTGTTTTTAGTCTAAGCTCAAATGTTTTTAGCACCCGTGTGTCTGCTTTTGATCTGAAGCTGCCGTGTTTTTCTGTGTGTTTTTTTTTTGTTAGTCATTTGATGTACGTTTTGAAGTCTCGCTTTGTTTCACGTCAGTAAGTCAAATAAATGACACTCATGTGAGGAAAAGCCTTGGCTCTCCACGACTTCAAACATCTGACTTCGGCAGACAGGCTTTTTTGTTTGTGAGTTAATGATGCTAAATATAAATAGATCTGTGTGTGACACCAATGTTTGTTCTTGTTTTCTCGCCTCAGTTTGGTTAAGAAGAAAGCAGAAACCACAGACTTCGCCAGGATGAAACCGGCACAGAAACGAAAACATCTGTAAGTGAAGGATGTTCAGAATTTATTTAAATGGAAAAAAAGGTTTGACTAAAAAAACTAGTTGTTAATGAGAAATTAAAACATGTAAAAGAATGTATACAGGTCATGTTTTACACCAAAACTAAAAAAAAAAGTGTTTGAAGAGATTTGGGCTTGTTTTAAGGATAATAAATTATTTATTTTTGCGATATTTTCATGTTAATTAAAACACATTTTATAATAATATTTTTTTTTATATAGTTTCGTATTTATTACATTTTCTTTTTTCCATTAATTAATTTATTTTTATAAAAAATGAATGTGGTAAACACTATTGGTGTGGTAAATATTATTATTTATATTATATATGCTGCAGTTATTTTGCTAGGCGTTTATTTGGTATGTGGCAGAATATTGAATTCAGGGCAAAGTAGTTTTTTTTATTATTTAATTATTATTTTTTTATCTAAATCTGGTCAAAATTGTGGCAACTATTGCTTGTGGGAAAATATTATGGTATTAAAACTTCATTATTATTTTTATTTTTCATTGTTCTCGTGACAGTTAAGCTTGTTATCCTAATGAAAGCTGTATATGAATTCATATTTTTGTATTTTACAGATTCCCTTGTTTTTTGCGATTTCGCGATCTCTGAATCTCTGATCTCTGAATCCAACGCAAAATCAGCAAAAAGTCAAAATTTTTTGCGATGCTACAAAATTCGTAATTAAACGCAAAATAATCGCAAAAATTTTTAATAATCTTATAAAACATCCAATTCTAAACCATATAATCAAATTATAATTAATTTAGTTTGCATTTAATTGTTTATGACAAATAAACATCGCATACGCAACGCATGTCCTGTGTGTGGCAGGAAGTCAGATGCTCAGGGGAGTGAAATCTGAGAGAAAGTAAGATCGTGGATAAAAATGAGAGTTATACAACTTTCCTTTAGGATTTGTGTCATTGTCATTGTTTCAGATTGCACACCTAATAGTAGGCTACCTAATATGGTAAATATGTATATTTTAAATATTTTATATGATTTAAAAAAAAAACAAACACAAATTTCTGGGAACTACCACCACAAAATCAGTCATTTTTCATGAAAAGCTAAGGGATTTGATTTTATATTGTTTTAATACTTTGTAATTTAATTATTATTCAACGTTTTGATATACTTCATAGAATATATATATATATATATATATATATATATATATATATATATATATATATATATATATATAAAATACATATATATTGTTTAAACAAAAGAAATATTTTAGTATTTAATTTATTGTAATATTTAAATTTCTTGAAATATCTTGTTATTAAAAACTTTATTTTGCTTTGGTTTCAGTGAAACGGAAGTGTCTTTCTTCAGCGAAGCCTTGAAAAATCCCTCCTTCAAGATCAACCCTTTAGCTGCGATCGGTGATCATCTGCGAAAACGACTCAAACAGGAAGACGAACAGAGTTAATCACAACTTCTGGTAGACTACAGGAACTACAACTTCTTAAATACACTCATTTGGTGAAATGAAATAAGACAGTTTTGTAGTACATAAAATGATTAGAATGCAAAGAAGAAAAAAAAGCATAATCTGCATTATCTGTCACATCATCAAAGCACAGAGAACAGTTAATTGCAGTTTCCTAATTTTATAAACGAGCGATCAGGTTATGTGATATTTAATGACTGTATTCAGTTTGTCTGTTTCGGGCTATAAATAAATCTGTTAGAAAAGTATTGCTCAGGTGTTTTTCTACTTTATTTGCGACTTTTATGAAGACTTGTGTTATTTGGGGACAAAAATTGTGAAATTTGTAAAATGCGATAAAAGAAGTTAATTGTAATTATAGAAACATAAGTAATATAGTGTATATATATAGCAGAGGCCAGCTAGTGAAGTGCTGTGCAGGTAAACCTCACTACTCTGACCTCTAAAAGGTGCTCTAGTGATGGATTCTAGAGGCTTTAACCTCTTTAGTAGACAACTGACTCGCATGCGGAAAGTTGCCGGTTCGATACCAGCTCAGAGCAGGTTGGGTGCAGGTGTTACATATATACAGTTGAAGTCAGAATTATTAGCCCACCTTTAAATTTTTTTCTCTCTCTTTTTTTTTTTAATGTTTACAAAATTATGTATAGCAGAGCAAGGAAATTTTCACGATATGTCGTATAATATATATATATTTTTTTTTTTCGACTAGAATAAAAGCAGTTTTAAATATTTTAAACACTATTTTAAGGACAAAATTATTAGCCCCTATTAGTCTACTGAACAAACCACTGTGATACAAAATTGTTGTAATTTATGAATAAATGAAATAATTTATGATCATAAAAAATATATATTTTATATAAAAAAAAAAATATATATATATATAAAACTAAGAGAAAAAAATTATATTTAACTGATTTAGCGATTAAAATAAGTGAAGAATTACACTGACTTGCAATGGGAATGAAGTTTCAGGAAGACCTAGCTTTTAGCTAACAATGCTGATCAACTATGCAAACAACTGAAACAAGACAACGAACAGAGTTGAACAACTTCAGAGCGACACCTTGCTGTTAGATGAGAAGAAGTGCATATTATTAAATGTTGCTCGGTCAAAATAAAAATACCGTTCGCAGTCATAAAAAAAACTTAAAAATGGCAAGATTGTCATTTTTCGTTATCTGGCACAACATGAATACTCATGGGAAAACCTGTTTATCCAGCCCGATCTCACAAAGAAATGTTACTATTTTACATATCGTCAGAAAAGTACCTAATAATGAAAACGTATTACATTTTTTTTTATCAGGAGGCGTTTCCCCAAAACCCACCCCAAACCCTACCCCTTATTGGGAGATCAAAAAAATCATACTAAACTGAATGAATGAGAAATGAATATGAATTAGCCAGTAAATAAAAAAAGTTTCGAATTGCCATGAAATTGCATTGGTTTATTGCAGTTAATGTGTGTAGGATACATTATTTAAATGACAGGGAAAAATAAACTCAGTTAAAAATCACATCATTTCCTTCGTTAGCAACGTCAATTTTTTGTATTTTGTATTTTATAGTGTTTTGCGATATTTGCTGACACAAAATGCCTTTACACTATAAAATGAGTGAAAAAAATACTGAAAATGGTGTTCAGGAACCTGACTGTACCTGCGGCATTCATTCATGAGCATCACAGACAAGCGACTGTAATTAAAGCGAGATCTGATGTTTCAGGCGTTTAGCCCATGCCTCTTGATTTCCATAGAAACGCACGCTGTAAAAAGGAGGAAAGGCCGTCTCTTTTCAGAGATCCAGGAGAAACAGGAAGCTGAACCCTGTCATTAACCTGCGATGTCTTCAGCAAACGCTTGACTCTGGATCGGATTTACTACATAAGCCATAAATGTAGTGCTTCAGGTTTGAGATGGTTCATGCAGTTCATCTGATGGCAACGTGGGTGTAGATATTAGATGATGTTCACCCACACAAGATTCCTCATCTCTTTTTTTTTTTTTGCTTGGTTTGTCCTAAATCCATTCATTATCGAAGGAAGATGCTTTTTGATGATTTTGTGTTTTAAAACTGTTGGTTTGTATGTATTTGTAGATGGATACTAATATACTATTATATACACTATTAAAATATAATTGATACTAATGTTATATTTATTACATTATATTATTGTTTTATTTTATATTATTTTCATGTTATTTGTGTATTTTAAATATTATAAATACTCTATTTATTATTATAGATCGTGTTATGAGTTCTTATAAATCGATTGTAATGATATACAGTTGAAGTCAGAATTATTAGCCCCCTTTGAATTTTTTTCTTCTTTTTTAAATATTTCCCAAATTATGTTTATCAGAGCAAGGAAATTTTCACTGTATGCCTGATAATATTTTTCTTCTGGAAAAAATCTTTTTTTTTTTTTTTTTTTTTTTTTAGAAAATGCAAAAATCATACAAATACAAGAAAACATCAACAAATAACAAATACAAAGCAACGAAACAAAAACAACAACAACAATTTAGTAAGGTACTGGTATGTGCGTGAGTGTGTGCGTGTGAGTGTGTGTATGCATGTAAAGGTAACTTGGTGGACAGGTCAGAGTACATACATAAGGAACAATAACAGTCAATAAATGAAGCAAGTGTCACAGATATGGATAAAACATATAGAAAGAAACCAGTCAGAGGTAGGGAGTAACAACAATGCTTATGTATGATAGTAAATATGAGAGTAAAAAGAGAGAAAGGACAACAGTAATAACTGACAACAATAATAATAAATCACAAGTGCTACACCAACTACTACTACAGAAAGTTACTTATAATACAACTACTACTGCTTCTACTACAGCCACAACCACGACTACTACTACTACTAAAGTGTCTACTAATACTGATACTCTGGATAAAGTCTGATTTGTTTTATTTCAGCTAGAATAAAAGCAGTTTTTAATTTTTTAAACACCATTTTAGGGTCAAAATTATTAGCCCCTTTAAGCTAATTTTTTTCTCGTTATAGTCTACAGAACAAACCATCGTTATACAATAACTTGCCTAATTACCCTAACCTGCCTAGTTAACCTAATTAACCTAGTTAAGCCTTTAAATGTCACTTTAAGCTGTATAGAAGTGTCTTGAAGAATATCTAGTCAAATATTATTTACTGTCATCATAACAAAGATCAAATTAATCAGTTATTTGAAATGAGTTAATAAAACTATTAGAAATGTATTGAAAAAAAAATCTGCTCTCCATTAAACACAAATTGAGGAAAAAATAAACAAGCAATCTAATAATTCAAGGGGGCTAATAATTCTGACTTCATTTTAAACTTAAATCAAAATCAAGGATTCATATTTAGGACCATTACGTTTGATGCTAGAAAAATGTTAATGTTTTTCTAATAATAGTAAATCAATTGTAATGATTAATAAAAAAACTGCAATACTGTATTGACAATGTGTATTATTTTTGTTTATTGATTGATTGACTTGTTTATTTGTAAAGATTTTGTAGTATTTTTTGGGTGACTTTAATTTTATTAAACTTTATATTACATAATCATTTAGCGTGAAGTTGCCAAAACAATTTAGCCAAATGCGAGGGGGCTTTTGTTGAATTATGTTAGCGCTTCTGAATGCCTAAATTGTCTGTTATATAAAGCGATGTGCGTCAGTTTATGGAGGAGGCTCGTGCACGTGCTCGTGTTCGCGTGCGCGCGCGGTGATTCCTCTTCTCTTCATCCTTCAGCGGGTCTGACGACTAAACGAAAGAGACGCTTTCAAAATACACACCTATTACACCACACACACACACAGTTTATTTTTGTCCACATCAGTCGATAAAATCTCGAAATATACATATTTATTAGGCTACGTACTTATTTTTTAAAAGTATATTTGTCCTTATAAACCATTTTAAGGTATGTAAACAAAAACAAGGATCCCAACGTATCTCCTGTTTTACATGTTTAATTTCCATAGCTTAGCTTTCGAGAATCCAAAAAGTGCCACATATTGATTAATAATGTTATGAAAGATATTTTAATATTAGGCAAGGATTGAATTACCTCTAGTTGATAGATAACAAGCAGGAAATGTTCATGGGCCAAAATTGAAATGGTTGTTAAATCATTTATAATGCATATACATAATTTTATTTACATATGTAACATTACATAAGATAGCCCTACTTATCTACAGAGAGTTTAGGCTGTGTATAAATTCATTAACGTAGTTCTATTTTTATTTGAAGTTTTTTGTTGATACTTATATTTAAACGTTATTTAGGAACATATCTTTAGAAAATATTTTTGTATAGGCACGTGTTTATACATTATTGGTAAAATATTCTGTTTACATTTACTTTTATATGTTTCACATATTTTACTTGTGTGTAAAATAATATATTTTATACAGTTTTGCATAAAAATATGAGATTTGTTGAAACAAAACAAAAAGTTATAACCTGTGGAGGTTCTTATGCTTGGTGAGTAGCACTATAGGTTATTTATTTTAGATTTAAATAGCTAAATGTATGTTTTTATAAATAAAAATGCATATACATAAACATATTTTATTAAAGTAATATAATTAACACATTTTCTTAAAAGAAAAAATGGAGCTTGTTTTGTGTGTTTTTGGCAGCAGAACAGATCATTTTTGCATGTTGCTGTTGCTCAGAATCACCAATAATTATGCAACATATAAAGAAACATCTGAGAAATTATCATATAACTTTTAGGAGGAGCAGGAGTGGACTTAATCAATTAGCAAGGTAAGCAGCCACTTAGGGCCCTAGGGAATTAGGGGCCCTCAACCAATGCCAGGAAGCCTATATTAATCATATTTTATACATTTTCTATCATATGTTGTAAAATCTTCCTATAACCATAAAGATTAACATTATTACTTCTTTTCAACCTTTTTCAAACACCTGTCAGAGCGTTTTAAGAGAGGGCCTGTCCAAAATAAGAACATTAGACTGCTGAGTACTTTGTGAACTTGGTTTTATTTGTGAATTAATGCATTTAAAAAGATTAAGGATCTTTAAATATATTTTAAACATGCAGTTTATTTACAAAAAAAACTACAAGTAACTAAATAAATATAAAGAGAATGATTTGAGTTTCAATGTTAGGGTCTCCAAATCACTAAGTTCACCCCTGAGGAGGAGAGAGATGTCATAAAGGTAAAGTATGCTATTGTATGCCTTCATATCGATTTATCAGTGTCATCAATCTATATATTATCTTTTAAATACAATATGTATAAAATTTAATTATAGAACATACTTCTATAACACTAACACCTTTTTCCCTGCACAGGTACTTTATAGGCTGCAAGTATATCAGTGTAAATGAAACCATACGACCGTCTGTCTGACCAATCAGCGCGACAATTTGTCCCGTCAAGCTCTGATCCGCCAATCAAACAGCAGTCAGTGCAAGCGCCCGCCCACTCGCTGGCCAATCAGCGCTCAGCATCGGCTAGTACTCCGTTACATCACTCAGCTCGTATCACTGATGCAAACACGCATAATTAAAGTCGCGCTGTGATTTTCAGCGTGTAGTAAAACGGGAAAACCGGCTTTATAACGCCCTAAATTCGCCATTTACCGCTTACGTCTTCCTTTTATATCTTTCTCATCATCTGGAGGCTTTTTTGTTCACCAGGATTCACCTCAACCAAGCGTCGCACTGTGAGTAATAATTTCATTCATTCAGCATTAAACGGTCATTTATTTACGTTATCTCGTGTCTTTTGACCAGTCGTTGTGTAAATAAACCCTGTTTGAAATTAAAACACGATTTCCAATATGAAATAAGGTCTACAGGTCAGCATCAGTGGTCCACGAGCTTCAGATGTGTCAGCCTGTAGAAAGGCTATTGAAGTGCTTGGGTTATCTTGTTTTGGTTCTGGTTATTTTATTTTACTATAGTACTAACCAGAGCAGCTGGCTTCCCCGTGAACGCTTGGTGTGTGTGATTGATGAGTTTGTTTGTGTTTTTGACATTAAAGTGAATGAGCATCTGTCCCAACTGCTTTTGTCCTGCTCATCTGTCCCATCACGTCAATTTACATAGACGTTTGTAGCTATTTAAATACATCTTTATATACTTAATAAAAATAGGCTTTTTGCTTAAGAATATATTTATATTCGTATTGTTTTTTTATTTATATGTGAAGTAATATATCTTTATAGCTTTTATTGACTGTTTATTTTTGATAAAAAAGTAATGTTTGTTAATATATAGAAAATGTTTCAATTACGTAAGCATTTGTATAAAAAATCGTCTATTTGTATTTCATTTAAAAATACTTTTTATATTTATAATCTTATTGCTTTTATTTATATGTGAAGTAATATTTCTGTATAGTTTTTATACAGTGCTCAGCAAATGTACACCCCTCACAAATCTGTCTTTTAAATTCATACTTTTAATAGGGAGCTTTACAATCTTATATTTGTGCATATCCATTAGATTGATTAGCACTGAAGCCAAATCTGGAGCTTATCTAACAAAATAACTTATGATAATGGTCCAAATTCTAGTACTGTCAAATTTATGTTATAGAAAAATATTAAATACGAATTTGAAAAAGAGGGGAAAAAATCAAGAGAAGCAAAAAACTTTAGAAATTAAAAAAAAAAATTTAGTTAAAATTTGTAATTTGATTTTGCAATGTTTTACTTGAATTTAATAAATACATCTGTTTAATAAATCAGTTTTGTTTAAATGCACCAAACCACATTGCCTATATTCACAGAAAATTTGATAAAAATATAAATTTTCAAAATGGGGTGTACTTAATTATGCTAAGCACTGTATGTGTTTTTTTTATATATAAAGTCACGTTTATTCACATATATATACAATTGAATTCATAAATATTAGCCCCCTTTTGAATCTTTTTTTCTTTTTTAAATATTTCCAAAACGATGTTTAACAGAGCAAAAAAATTTTCACCGTATGTCCGAAAATATTTTTTCTTCTGGAGAAAGTCTTATTTGTTTTATTAAGGCTAGAATAAAAACAGTTGTTAATTAAAATTATTAGTCCCAAAATTATTAGCCCCTTTCAGCTATATATTTTTTGATAGTTTACAAATAAACCATCGTTATACAATAACTTGCCTAATTACCCCAACCTGCCTAGTTAACCAAATTAACCTAGTTAATCCTTTAAATATCACTTTAAGCTGTATAGAAGTGTCTTGAAAAATATCTAGTAAAATATTATTTACTGTCATCATGGCAAAGATAAAGTAAATCAGTTATTAGAAATGAGTTATATAAAATTATAATGTTTAGAAATGTGTTGGAAAAATCTTCTCTCTGTTAAACAGAAATTGAGGAAAAAATAAACAGGAGGGCTAATAATTAAGGGGGGCTAATAATTTCAACTTTAACACAATATTTAAGATATTAAAAAATAATCTTTTAAAATCAATCAGCAATTTCCATCAGCTTTATTTCTTTTTATTTAACTTTATTTCTTTTATTTACTTAAATAAAAATTAAAAAATAAAGATGTGATATTATGTATAACAGGACAAAATTCTCATATTATTTAAAGAACAGCCTTTGTGGGCTTTTAAATGTTATTTTGGCTAAGTTTCTGCCTCTCTTCTGTACTGATGCTCAAAATGCTCTGTTTGTTTTGAATTCCACTCATGGTTTGTGTAAAGAAAAACTGCGTAAATCTCTTGCCTGGGCGAGTATGAATTCTGCTAAATAAATGAACCGCGCAAAGACACGAGCAAAAGAGTATAGTTTGATTAAAACTAAATAAAAATATTTATATATGTTAAAAAAATATTAGAATACAAAAAAACTAATTATATAGATTTTCTTCCCATTTTGGTAACATTTTTACCATTTAAACGATTTAAAGACCGTTTGATCTTGAATCTCTGTGACCAAAGCTCTGTGACCGAAGCTGTTTTGCTAAGTCACTTTCACAGAAATTGTATATTCGAAAGCTTTGTTTCAATGATCTCATTGAATCTCTGAACTGCAGCCCATTTCACATTAAACTGTTTAGATTTAGGAACTATTTTTTTTATTATTATAATGTCAGAAATTTTTCTTCAGGTGCATTAATATTGTTTGGTTCTGCATATTGGGATGTTCCCAATAGTTTGTATGACATTTAATGCATAATGAACCATAAAAAATACTTATTTTAATATCTTCATAACATCATCAATTCATTTTTGTTAATTGTGTTTTTTGTTCAGATATTTAAAAGAAAAAAGTTGTATTTTTCAATTATTTAATGCATCCATGATGGAAATAATGGACATGTATTCAGTAAATAAACAGTAAATCGTTTTTTTTTTCTTCATAGCATTGTTAGAAATTTGAATTATTTAGCTTTTTTTTTTATTTAAATAATCCTAGAAATATTTTTTTATAATTGACAGATTGTTACAGAAATATTTCATAACAGTATATATTTTTTTATGCAATAAATAGTATTATGTTAGTTAGTTAGTAACTTTATTTGTCCCCATAGGGAATTTTCATTTGCAGAGACATCTGACATTTCACATTTGGCATTTATATAAATAAATAATTTAAAATCCGAAAGTACCATGGTATTCCTACTCTAAAAGAATATCATGTATACTGGCCATCAACTGCTACTGTGAGAGGAGGAATTTAAAAACTTAATTACTGGAAGTATTGATAATAAATGTGTCCTATATCTTACACATCTAGGAACACATTATCGAAGACCTGATGGTAACAATTTGAAGGTGTATGATAAAGGATGTCTCTCATCATTGACAATAATGATAGCCTTATTTAGTACTCTTTCTTTGTATATGGTATACAAAGAAAGAGTATGATATCTTTATTTTAAACAAAAAGTGTATTTGTTATCTTGGAGAAAAAAATCGTAATTAAAAAGCTAATAAAACTGACTGATATTTACAGATTGTTTTTAGTTAAAAAACATTCGAAAATTACAGTAATTTTTTTTTATTTATAGGGGATTTGTTTTATTATATATATATATATATATATATATATATATATATATATATATATATATATATATATATATATATATATATATATATATATATATATATATATATATATATATATATATATATATATATTTTTTTTTTTTTTTTTTTTTTTTTTTACAAAAATAAATAATTATACAATTTATTTATATAGCTCCCTCATAGTCAAGATAATTAATTTTACAAATTTTACTAATGACCAAGTAAGTGATATTTACTGGAAGACAAAAAGTCCTTCTCAAAAGTCTGTATTCATCTCATATCTGACTTGGTCGAGTGCCTGGTTTGTCCTAAAATGAACTGGTCACTGCTCTCGACTGAACTCCTTTAAGTGCTGTGAGCTCTTTGGTTTCCCATCATGCTTTGCACATGTGCACTCTTCTGCACAGAATTTTCTGTGTGCTGTCCACACAGACACACAGATTAATTCTATTAATATTTTTTAATGAATGTTTTATCTTGTAGAATACTCACAGAATGTTGAGTTTGTGTATGGACATTTTAAGTTTAGCATATATATATATATATATATATATATATATATATATATATATATATATATATATATATATATGTATATGTATATATGTATATGTGTGTGTGTATGTATGTATGTATGTATTGTGTGTATACATATGTATGTATATATAAATATATATATATATATATATATATATATATATGTGTGTGTGTGTGTGTGTGTGTGTGTGTGTGTATGTGTGTGTGTGTGTGTGTGTGTATGTATGTATATATATATATATATATATATATATATATATATATATATATATATATATATATATATATATATAAATATATATATAACATATGTATGTTTATGTATATGTGTGTGCAATCACAATTTTTTGCTCAATTTCAAACACCACAATCTGCATGCATATTTGGCTTTAAAAATAAGGGGGTTGCAAAAATTGGTGTGGTTCCAGCATCTAATTAATTAGGCAATGTGAACTCAAACCACAACCTCTTGATTAAGAAACTAACACTAATTAATCAACCAGCTGCAGGCGACATAAACAATACCAACATAAAACACACATTCAGCAGCGTCTTAGAGAGCCACTTCATGGCTCTTCTCTTCATGATTGTTGTTTGTCTCTTTTTTTTTTTTTGGTCACGAGCCAGCTGTTGGCATCTCTATCTGAATCATCAGGTCACGAAGCATGATTCATCTTTTTTTTTTTTTTTTTTTTTTTTAGCTCGGTGCTCTTTATTTAAACCTGTAGTATTTTTACATGTAATGTTAATCTGGCTTCCATGCACCAAATACATCAAAAGTAGGTGTAGATTTAAATGTTTGGCAACTGATGCAAAGATGAATGACGATGCTCATGTTAACATATAGCTGTTGTTTGTTTTGCAGTTAATGTTCTCTAATCTGCGAGTTGAGCTGTGTGAAACAGTCGTCAGTGGTTTCATTGTTCAAGCATGACAAACTGTTTCCAATTGATCTCTCTATTGAGTGCATTACAGGAATTTAATCCATGCTTTAATGATCTTCTGTCAGCCGCTTCCATCTGCGCACAATGTTATTGCCAGCAAATGAATGAGGTTTAAGATCTGAGCTGAGTAAAGACGGATTACTGAAGATTTGACTGTCTGGTGTGATCTTCGATGTGGGAGTTTTAGGAGGAAAGG